CATGATGTTTGAGAGATACATCAACTGGTTGCCAACCAGGGACCTGGCCTGCAACCCAGGCATGTACCCTGACAGGGAATCAAAACAGTAACATTTTGGTTTGCAGGCTGGCACTCAATCCACTGAGCCATACCAGCCGGGGCCTCCTCCTCACATTTTATCCTCCAAACCAATCCTATGCAGTAGAAGTTGTTATTAGCCCCCTTTATAGATGAGGAAATGGAAGCACATGTTGGTTAAGTAAATTGTCCAAAGTCATACAGCTGAAAAGTTTTGGGACCTGGATTTAAACCAGGTTCCAGGACTAGGTAGTCTGACTTCAGAGTTTAAAGATAATTATTGGATAGGCAGGTGCTAGGGTGGCTGGATGGACATGTTAATGGCCACATAAATGGATTAATACATTGATGATGGATGGATGGGTGAGTGGAGGTACTGAAGGAGGTAGAAATTTATCCTGGGGTTGGTGGGGAGCTGGTGATGGACTGGCTATAGTACATGGGCATGGATAGCCAACCCCATCGTCTCTCCAAAACTCCCTCTCTTTTCTTCCCTTTCTCATGTCCTTACTTGAATCACTGTCACATTGCTGGGTTGAGGGATCCTCTGAGCTTGAGTCAGTTCCCTCACATATGAAAAAACCATCCAGCGGATCTAGCAAAAGGCTCTCTTGGTGGAATAATGGCTGTTTTTGTTTTTTTTTTTTTTCCTCTGTGCTCTCTGAAATTTTCCATAGCAGGTTTCTACGTTTTGTGCTGAACCATAGCGGCTCTTTGGCAATCACTTCTTACAGGCCCATCTTTTAATGTAGATTTTTGCCAGCAAGACTGCAGAAATATCACGCGGTACAGTCCTGTCCAACCATTGTGTTTCATCCCCTTGGTGACTGTGATGAGTTCAAGAAAAGACCCATGGCCCAAGTATGTCCTCTATAAGCCGGTTGGATCATTCTGGTTTTTAGAACAGTTGTGAGAGAGAAACTTCCTTCCTTTTGGGGTGAGAAGAGATGGGACACATGTCCAGAGCTTGCAATATGAGTTAAGTTTTTGGCATTTGCAGACAAGATTCCTAACACAATATCTATTACTTTTGTATAAAAATGACATGTATTTTTAATAATGTTATTTTAAAAGAACAAAAAGCAACCGTCAGATTCCTGAGTCCATGCAGTTAGCCACACCACAGAATGTGTCAGACAGCTGCTGGTCTGGCCAGAGATATGAGCAGACAAGGCTGGGAAGGTTCCTCCAGGAGGGTTCCTGGGGGAGGGTGAAGGAGGGGTTTAACAACCAGCTCTGTTTCACCTCCTCCTTCTGCTCCTTCTAGCTTCCAGCTTCCAGCTTGGCACAATGAAGCACCTTCAGTGTGTAACTTGCAATTAAAGCACGAATCTCAGGAATCTGGCTGATCCAGGTCCTTCTCCACCCTGGGCTGGTCCTGCCTCAGGATAGAAGCAGCTGGAACTATTCCTCAGCTGGCTGGTTGAGCAGTGATAGATGTGTGGGCCAGAGCGGGGCCCAGCCAAGGACTTTCCCAGGGCACCCATTCCGGGGGATGTCTCAATGACCATCTCTGGGGCTGCCTCAGTGAAGGGAGGAGGGGAAAGAGCCAGAGAGGTACTTGTCCTTCAAGGGTATTTCCTGGACCACTTCATTGCTTTTGGGATACTATTACCATCCACTCCATCCTTATCTTACCGACTACTCATCACTTTCTTTTCTGAGATTTTTAAAATTGTGCAAAACCATGCTCTTTAGAGGAGTGCATAAATACAAATGTGTGGTTAAAAAAAGACAGGAAAGCAAATCCCTCTGTTTGTGCCCCTACTTAAGATGAGAACTAAACCACTGCCAACCAGTTCTTCACGAGCCCAGCCGTATGTCTCTGAGCATCCACCCTCCCACCCTCAGGGTTTCCTGACCTCCACCATCAATGCAGCTTGCTTGTTTTTTTAGTTTTATTTCTCATTTTTCTTTAGGTCAACTAACTCTTTATTCAAACAAATTTTTTTTTGACTTTTTTATTGGGTAAAGTTCACATAACAACATTAGCCATTTTAAAGTGTCCAGTTCAGGGGCATTTAGTATGTTCACCTCTGTCTAGTGCCAATACATCTTCATTATCCCCAAAGGACACCTCATACCCATTAAGCAGCTACTTCCCCTTCTCCCTCCTCCCTAACTCCTGGTAACTATTAATCTACTTTTGTGTTTGTGGATTTACTTATTGGGAGTTTTCATATCAATGGAATCATTCAATATGTGGCTTCTATCACATAGCATAATGGTTTTAAATAGCGATGGGAAGGCAAGACTGGAGGACAGGGAGACCCATGAGGAGGAGGGGAGCCTTGTGGGTGCTGCTTCATCATCCATCCAGCCTCCTTCTTGTGCTCCAGTTGCTACTTAGGCACAGAGGTCCCAGGGTATCCACCTGTCTCCTCCTCTTCGACCTGCTTGCCTTTCACAGTGACCTCATCCATACCCCGGATGGCTCCTGAATGGCTCTGTCCGGCCCAGAGCTCCCTTCTGAGTTTCAACCCAGGAGAGGCCAGCCTGTTTATCAGCTATCTCCCCTCAGGGTGCAGGCTCTCAGGGGACATGTTGAGTTTGAGGTGTCTCTGTTATCAGGGGCATGTTGTGTGGGCTGTGGGGACACTTGGGTTAGGAGCCTGGGAAAGAACTCAGTGGACCAGTGGGGACAGAGGCTCAGAGAGTTTGAGAAGAACAAGGATGCATCAAGGATAAACATAACGACGACCTACAAAGGGAGCCATTCTCCCTCAGAGTCAGTAACCCCTGGCCATGGTGGCTGCCTAGCCAGGCGTCTGGGAATGAAGAGGTTCTCCCTGCCTCCACCACTGTCGTGGCACAAGAGGGCCCTTTGGCTGGGCAAGATGGACCTGAAGCCAGAGAGGATAGAAGAGGACTTCCCTGGGGGCTGGTGAACTTGGCCTCTCAGGAAAACTTTCATTTGTTCTGTATGGTGGTTAAGCACACAAGTGGTGGGGCCAAGAGGGGAGCTCTCTGGGCCTCAGTTTCCTTATTCACGAATCCCTGGCAAAGAGTAAGTGCTTTATAAATATTAGCCATTATTATGATTATTATTGTTTTTATTAGCTCCGTAAGCTTTCCCCAAGTGCTATCACTGTACTCAGTCCTGTCCAGTGTGGGGGCAAAGAGATAGGCACAATTCCTGCTTTCAGAGTTCACCACTAAGTGTGAGACAGACAAATGGATAAAAAAATTGTATTGGGGGATGAAAATTCCATAATGGAGGGAGTGCCAACTTCTCGGGGCCCATGAAGGTATGGGTAGACTTTGCAGAGGTGGTGACATTTGTACCTGGCTTGGAAGCATGAGTGGAGGAGGAGGGAAGGCAGCATATGGCACTGCAGGAGCATAAGCCCTGAGGTCAGGAGCCAGGCAGGAAGGAGATGGCAGGAGCCATGGGGTCTACCTGCACATGTCCTAGGGGACAAATGGGAGGCTGTTGGCTCCAGGTGCTCATGGCTTCACCTTGGACAAAGTCAGCAGCAACCCATCCTTGCTGGAAACATTCCTACTTGTGACATGCTGATGCCACGGATCTGTCATGGGGCAGGAGGAGGAAGCTCCCTCAGGGCAGTGTACAGGCAGGCGCCTGCTGCAAGTCCCCTGTCTGCACTGGCTGTAGCCACCCCAGCCTGGCATGGATGGCAGCCAGGCTGGTGCCCTATGTAACCTGAAAATTGCCTGCAGCAGGCCTCGCTCCCTGTTCCTCAGGGAGCTCCAGACAGGCTGGGGTCATGGTGACCTCTTCCCTGCTGGCTGCCATGCCTCCTTGCAGCACCCAAAACCCTTGAGGTTCTATGGAATCAGCACATTGGATAGAGATGGCTGTTGCTGCCACAGGCATGGGGCCGGGTTAGACCAGGTAGGCGCCCCTAGACCAGGCAGGGTCCCCCTGCCCATGCTCTTTCACCAACACTCTTGCCTCCATTAGCAACCAACCTTGTTTGGGAGGCAGTCCTGAAATGCAGGCCATGGGTGGAGGAGTTCCTTTTGTCCCATTACCAGAAGTGTCCAGCCTTCCCCTCCTCTCACTGGAACTGACTTGAGCCTCACCCTTAAAAGGCAAGGACACTGATTGGATGCAAAATGATGGAGTGATAATGTGCCCAGGCTCCGGAGTCAGACTGCCTGAAGTCAGTCCCAGCTCTGCAACTTCCTAGCTGTGTCAACTTGAGTAACTTAACCTCTTTGTTCCTCAGTTTCTTGATCCATAAAATGGGACTGTCATACTTACCTAATGTGCTAATGCAGGGGCTGGCAGATTTTTTTTCTGTAAAGGGCCAGGTAAATATTTTAGACTTTGAGGGCCATCAGCTCTCTGTCACAGCTACTTACCTGTGCTTTGTAGCACAAATGCAGTAGCAACACTATGTAAATGGAGAAGCATTGCTGAGTTCCAATAAAATTTTATTCATGGACATTGAAATTTGAATCTCATAGAATTTACATGAGTCACAAAAGTTCTTCTGATTTTTTTTTTAACCATTGAGAAGTGGAGGAAAAAATACTCCATTCTTAGGTCACAGGCAAAAACAGGATTTGGCCTGAGGATCATAGCTTGCAGTCGCCAGCAGTAAACTCTGTAAGAGCTTAGGACAGCACCCAGTACACTGTTCTTGTGCTGACAGTGAACACCTACTCTGTGCTTAATACATTAGCTATTGTCATGGTAGAGAGTGTGACTATGGGACTGTGTGGGCTATCTTCTGTGGTTGGCTTGTTGGTGGAGGAGTCCGTTTTGGAGGAAGAAAAGCTTGTCAGGATATATACTTTATGTCTTGGGCTACCACTGGAGATGAATGTCCAGCAAAGCCATTTAGTTGGCTCCTCTCTGCTTGGGAGAGGGGGCCAAGGCACTGGTTTAGCTGCCCAGAACATCGCCCTACCCCGCCTCCCAGAGTGAGGGTCTCCTGTCACATCCCCAGGCCTCCTCCCACTGCACCCTTTCTCTCCTACACACTGTGAAGCCCTCAGGCCAGCTTCCAGCCTGAAGGCACAGAGGAGACATTGCCCCCATGTCTGTGACTAAAAACAGTTCATTCACAAACGGCTCCAGGGGGGCTGGAGCTTCCTCCTATCCTGGCACCAGCCAGCACTTTCAGCCCTTCAACCTAAGGTCCCATCCTTGGGCCCTAACTTGACTGGAGGCTTTGGAACCTTTCTCAAGTTCTGGTCAAGAACTCTATCAGGCACCACTTCCTGGACCCCATCTCTCTCTGAGCACGTGGGCTAAGGGTTTGTGCTGCAGGATCTGTCTCATCGGGATGGCTCTGAGTGTTGCTGGGCAAGGCTCAGCTCCCCTGCACATGCCCGGCCCCACCTTGTTGTTCAAAGCAGACTTATAGTCAATGTCTCTGAAAAGTGCAGAGTGGGTGTAGAGGGCCCCTCTGCGTGCAGGAGACAGGGTCCAAGTTCTCAGCCCATGATTGGTGGTCCTGGCTAGATCTTTCTTCCTCATCTTGCCTCAGGACTCAGCTGGCACCTGGGTGTCTGTGAGCTGGTTGGAGAAGGCTCTCTCCAAGCGCAAGGTATTGTATCTGGGGGGCGGTGTACCCGGCACCTGAGCCCCTGGAGCTGGAGGCAAGCGCAAAGCAGAGGTGAAAGTGGGTAGGTCATCATCTATATCTAGGACTGGGTTGTCCTGGCCCCGAAGGCTGGGGGGAGCCTCAGGGCAAGTGGGTGCCTGCCTGCGGGCCCACCACCTCTTCGCTTTCTGCCACTGGTGGCGGGCAATGATAGAGAGGGAATCAATGAAGAAAACCTCGATGATCTCAATGACGCAGACTACAGAGCAGCTCATCCACAGGCCCAGCTGGCCACCGAAATTGGACAGGAGCATCTCGACCTACAAGAAAGGCCAAGCCATACCATCAAGACAGACCCACCCAAGTTGGCCTCGTGCAGAGACCCCAAATCCCAAGAGAAACACTGGCTATCCCTGGCCTTGCACAGGTTTGGAGGAAGGAGGGGTCAACCTTTCTGTCCCTCTTCGTCTGCCGGCTTTGATCCAAGGCCTGGCTGGCTTATGGTGTCCCTACTAACTCAGGCTGGACCCCTGTGATCTGACTCTGCTCCCCTAGGCCAGGCAGATGGGTGCCCTCACAGACCCAGGACAGGTCCTGGGAGGGAGCTACTCACGCTGTTAGCAGGACTTTCCATGATGGATCTCTGGTTCAGGTCTTTGTAGAATATCAAGAGCTTGGCCAAGTCTGTCCTGCAGAAATTCCAACAGGCAGGGCCAAGGTGAGCTGGCACTTTTGTATTCTACCAGGTGACCAAGTCTTCAGCATGGCTACCTCCCTCCTGCCTAGCCCCCAGCATGACCCAGGCTTTGAGCTTTGCAGGAATCTCAGAGCCTGGCCCACAGGGCTCCTTCTGCACCCAGAGCACATCTCCAGGCTGGGCCTGGTTGCTCAGGCCATTCATTACTCAAAAACCATTTCCTAACGTCCTGACTAAGTGAGTCTACCCAGCTAGACTCTCATAACACCCTGTTCTTCATGAAGTCTTGACATGTGTGATTATTTGATTGCAATCTCAGGAGACAGGTAGGTAATGTAAATGAATGAGGTAGGTTTAGTATAAGGTAGTAATGATAATAACCATTATAGCAGCTAGTATTTATTGGGCACTTCCTGTGTTGCCAAGCACTATTCCAAGAACCTTGTATGAATGAACTAATTTAATTCTCACAACCCTATGAAGTAGGCTGTTTTAATCATTCCTATTTTACAGATATGGAGACTAAGACATGAATCAGTAGGCAACTTGATCAAGACGACACAGCTTGCCCTGACTGCTGTGGCTCAGCTGATTGGGTGTCGCCCCACAGAATGAAAGGTCATCAGTCTGATTCTCAGGCAGGGCACATGCCTGGGTTGTGGGTTTGGTAACCTGGTCAGGGTGCGTGCGGGAGGCAACTGATCGATGTTTCTCTCTCACACTGATATTTCTCTCCCTCTTTTTCTCCCTCCCTTCCCTCTCTCTAAAAAATAAATAAATAAAATCTTAAAAAAAAAAAATAAAGGACAACACAGCTCATAATTGTCAGAGCCAGTGTTCAAACATACAGAGATCTAACTTCAAAATCTGTGCTCTTAACTCCTGTACTGAATTGCCTCCTGATGGGACTGTGGCAAGCTGGAAAGTTCGTATGTATCCCAGAAGGGCAGCTATTACTAAGCCCTTTGGTGCTATGCAAGAATGGAGGTTTGCTGTCACCCGAACTTTTGACTTTTCAAGAAAAAAGCTGGAAATAATGGATTAGTTTTGTGGAGCCAGATTTAGCTTCAGGAGTCACAAATTTGTAATGCTTGGCCAAAGTCTATCTTTATCACTAGATTGTAAGCTTTTGGGGGCAGGGATCATGTCTGCTCATCATCATGGTACCCCACACTCACAAAGCACCTGGCACAAAACATTTAGTACATATTGGAGGCCAGACTGGCTCCCGCTGTGCTAGGCCTGGTGTTGGGTACTGTGGAGATGGAATGGCCCACAGAGATGTGAGTTCTCATGCAATCCCCACCACTCAAGCTTTTTTTCCATCTGCTAAGTTCCCTGAAAGGTGGCCTGGCTGATTTTTGCTAAAGTTTCCTTGGAAGTGAATTTCAATGTGGAAAATTCAAGTGAAATTAGAAGTGGAGTATTTTTCCAACTAGGTCAAGCTATACCAGGAAGCCATGAAATAAATTTTCTGGGCCATGACCAGTGCTTTTCACCAAGTAAAATGGAATAGAAAGTATCAGATTGCATCCACAGAGATACTCAAAATGTTTAGTAACTGATATGAGCACCAATTGTTCAGAACCGTGCTCTAAGCAATTGGGATGGGTATGAGCAAATGGTTTGGCTCTACTAGTAGGCACCATCTGAAAACCTGCCCAAATGTATGTACATGAGAAGTGCTGTTTCATGAGCCTTAAACCTTGGTTACATATTCTATGGGCAACAATAGAAAAGTATTTTTATACTGAGCATCATGGTCAAAGCATTTAAGAGCCCCAGGCCTAGAGCAGTCCCTAGCTCATGATAAAAGTTCAATAAATATTTGTCGAATAAAGGAATGAGTGAATGAAAAGAAGAAGGCCTGGCAATGACAAAGCAAGTGAGGAAGTTGGAACTGGGGCAGAGGAAGCAGGGTGGAGGTCAACTTACTTGTTGAGCTTTCTCTTTATTTGCTGGCCTTGGTCCCACGTGAGGACACGCAGCAGCCACTTCTGCGACAGGGAAAGAAAGTGTGGTCTGGGGAATGCCCTTGTACTCAGCCCCACTCCCAACCTGGACCTTCCCTCCCTTTCCCCCACCTTCCTGCAGTTACCCACAATGCCAGAGGATACAACCAGGCATTAGGCTCCAGGCTGAGGAGTTGGAGGAGGAAGAGAGGGCAGAAGAACTGACCTCAGAAACCACAGACGGCCATTGCGCCAGGCTGGTGGTCAGTGTCCACTCCTTGAAGCTAAGGGAAGAGGGCACAGAGTGAGCGTGGCTGTCCCAGGCCAGCCCCGGTCAGCCCAGCCCTGCTCATCCCATCCCCCCAGAGCACTCACCTGCAGGCTTCCCGGCACATGGACTGGCAGCCCAGCTGTTCCCGGACAAAGGCCTGGTGCAGTTCGTAGTAGCAGTACACTGAGCAACAAGGCAGAAAGTAGCATAAGCATTAGGGCCACAGGGCCCTCCCTGGGGGTTTCCAGGGGTGCCCCCATAGTCTCCTTGTAATTTCTCCTGCTACACTCTACAAACCCTGCTTCCTGGAAACAAATGCTGCTTTGTGATGTTGCGGTGGTTAGGGACATGAGTTGGGGGGTTGGCAGCCCTTGGTTTGGGCTCTGTTACTCCCTAGCTGTGTGACTTTGAGCAAGTTGCTTAACCTACCTGAGCCTCTATGAAAGAGTACTATTTATCAATAGTTCTTGCCTCCTGGGGTTGACAGAGGTTCTCAGCCCTTAGCACAGACAGGGCTATAGCATTTGGTCCTTAATTAGAAAATATCATTCAAGCCAAGCTGGATGACAGGAGTTAAACTCTGGGTAATATCTCTCTACCAACACCTTCCTCAGAAAAAAGGCCATCGAGGCAGGGGCCTTAGGGATGCCTGAGCACAGGCTGGTACAGGAGCCAGGATGACCCAGTTCATGGGCTGTGCAAGGCTGGGGTGGGTCTCACTCACTCCAGTTGGGGTGCTGCTGGTAGTTGCAGTAGTTGGCGGCCGGAGGCAGAGGCTGGCTGTACTGGGCACACCCACACCGCTCCACCATCTTAGTCTGGAAGCATGAGTGGAGGCAGATCTGTAAGAGGAGACCAGTGATTCCCTTAACCCCCTTGCACATGGGGGCCAGAGAGCCCCTCCCTACACAGGCCTCATCCATAGTGTCAGCCTCCTATGGCCTTGGAATATCATGTAAATGTGCCCTTCAGGTCACAGCCGATTGGGCCAGAAATGTCCCCTGATTCCATAGGGGCCAAACTAGAAAATGTATTGAGAACTTAGAATAACAGAGAGGTGGAGATGAGGCTCAGGTGGAGCTGGGGCTGGGACAGCCACTTCCCATCATGCGAGCACCAGGCCAGAGATAAGTGGAAAATTGGAGCAGATGTCAGGAAGCAGAGGGGAACACAGGACCAGCTTTCCCATCTTCAGGTCCAAGCCCTGCATGTTGGGTCCTTGGAGGTCAGAAGCTACCACGACATCCATGAAGCTTATACCATAAAAGCTAATGGCAGGGGCTCTGAAGGAAGACTACTCAAGTTCAAAGGCTACCTCCTAGCTGTGTGACTTGAGGCAAGTTACTTAACCTCTCTGGTGCTTTGATTTCTTCATCTTTCAGCATGGAATGAATTGACATATGTCAAGTATGTGTACATGGTAGCCTCTCATTAGATATTATCCAGGAGCGTCTTTACACGAGCTCAAATTTTTTGCTTTTGGGTTTTTTTTTTCTTTTTTTTTTTTGGTCTTGGACTCAGTTTCATTGCATTTCTATTTCTCACAAGCAGATGTTCTTGGACTAATAGTCTCTTTTCACTTAGTGTCTCCACTACTTCTTAGCTCATCTCTGGTGAGCTAAGCAGGAGGACTCAATCAGAGGGCTGCCTGGTCCTTTTAGCCTGCTGGGATAATTTTTGTTGACTTCCCTGGGTTCCCTCATGGGGAGAAAGCTGCAGACTCTGAGAATATGAGGCAAGGCATAAGAGATGATCACACTCAAGGGCTTAAAACTCAAACACTGATAGGCGCCTGTACTATAGGTCATACACTAGGTGCTAGTGGAGACTGTGGGGAACTGCAGAATATATGCCTTGTCTACACCCACTATTCATCCTGCACGAATACAGCCCCTATCTTGTTTTTCAGGAGAAGCTGGGAATTTTGGTTTTCTTATGAAATTCCCTGACTTTTAAACATCATCCAGGCCAGAAAAATCAGGTGTGCAGCCTGGAATGGGTCTTGGGACTGTAAATCAGCAGCCCCTGATCCAATCCAACCTCTCCTGTGACTGCTGAAGATGATGCAACTTGCCCAAGGCCCCTGGTGAGTGAGGGGCACAAGTGGTACTGGAAGCCAAGCTCAGGACCCCTCAGCCAGCGCCTTTCTCAAACTGCTTCATTCCTGTCCCTCAGTCGCCAAGGCCCTTTACAGGAAGTGGGCCTGTCTTGTACATTGTGTTCCACGCAAACCTCAAGGAATCAGTTAAGCTCTGGTTACAGATTGAAGGGGACTGGAACCAGCCAGCATCGTTTGTTCTTGAGTTGCTTGGATGAACCCCAAGGATTCTCACCAGAGTTCCTGGTCCCAGACACACCCCAGCTTACACATAACCTTGTCTTCTGGGTCCAGGCCACAACCCAGGGCTGGGTGTCTTATCCAGATCATACCTGGAGGGAGTAGACAGCATTGTAGATGTTCTTGATGGGCACATCACTGCCATCCTCTGTGCACTGACTGTAAGGTTCACCCAGCTTGAAGGACTCGGTCTGCAATCACAGTAGCACACTATCAGTCCTGCCTCCCTCAGGACTCAGACTGGGGCAGGGGTGGGCATTGCGAACAGCACCTGGGAGCTGAAAAGACGTTCATTAAACAACTGTTTATTGAGCACCTACTAGGCACTGTGGAATCAACAATGATCTAAACAGATAAGCTGCCTGTTCTTATGGAGCTTACATTCTAGTGGGGTAGGCAAATGACCAGAAAAGCAAGTAAATAAGATAATTTTGGATAGTGATCAATGAGAATAGGTAGAGAGACTGGAGGGGTTGGTGTGATTAGGGAAGATGTCTTCAGGAAAGGGACACTGGGCCTGACTGCTGTGGCTCAGTTGGTTGGCCGTCTTCCGCAAAGCAAAAGGTGCAGGTTCCGTTCCCAGTTGGGGCACGTGCTTGGGTTGCAGGCCTGCCCTCTGGTTGGGGGCATGCAAGAGGTGATCCATCAACGTTTCTCTTGCACATCGATGTTTTTCTACCTCTCTTCCATTCTTTCTAAAAATAAATAAATAAAATCTAAAGAAAAAAAGGGGGGAACACATTGGCTCCATATGGAATGCAAGAAAGAGCTGGGTGTGCCAAGAAATGGAAGAGGATTAGGCAGAGGGAGCAGCAAGGACGAGAGCGTGCTAGGGTGGCTGGAACATGACAAAAGGGAGAGAAGTCGCTAGAAATGAAGTCAGAGAAGGAGGACAAGGTAAAATCATGCCACCTCTCATGCTAAGAAACATGCACTGGTTTCAGAATGGTGGTGATCCGCTGGAGAACCCCATGGGAGGAGCATGAGGGGTTAGAAGAATGAGCAGCGACTACACGCTGGCTGCATGGGACTTCATCCCAGTGAGGGACCCATTTCCTACCCCCTTGTCTTCTGGCCCCAGAAACTGACTTGGAAAAATTGACTTTCTCAGACAGAGCTGAGGAATGCCCAACAGAGTAGAATGATACACTGATCAGAGCAGGGAAGAACATTATTATAATTCAAAAACCTTAAAATTATATTTTATTGTGGTTTACTAAATTTGGCTGTAGCTTAATATTTGTCACTGCAAGTAAACAATCCAGACAAGCCAACCGAGGGGGAAAAAAGAATAATGTCTTTCAAGGGAGAACAATAATATAAATTGTGGCCTGCTTATAGCTAGGTTCCAGGGTGTGTGCATGCATACAGGTTTTGTTTTTTTTTTCTTCCTGAGAGTGGGGGAGGAGGGATAAAGGGAAATTGAGTAAGACACTTGTGGGAGGAAAGAAACTTCTTTTTTCTTTGAAGAGTGCTATATACAGAGAAAGATAATTGGGGGGGAAAAAGAACCAAGAATTTTGAGGCTAGAACCTCTTTGTGTTTATATTGTAATTCATCTGCTAGCCCAACCTTGTAGTCTCCCTCAATTAATAGCAGGCACCTCAGGGACAACCTGCAGTGCTCATTTTAAAACATTTCAGCAGCAGAAGCAAACAAAGGAGAGAGTAGCCATCTGGTCTCCTGTCTTCCCCAAGGGGCCTACATCCTGATCTCAGACAGACAGGCAGGCAGGCAGGCAAATACTCACCCATTCCCTTTGCCCTGCAATCTCCCCTTCTCACTAACAATAAAAGGTGAGCGTCTTTCCGGATCAGTACAGAACAAACACACTTACTTCATTCCTCTAATAGCTGGGGAGCAAACAGATTCAGGGCCTCTAGTACATGCCAGGACTGGGCTGGGCACTGGGAACAGAGATGCCCAGCAGTGGCTTCCCTCGAGGGCATCTCGATTCAATGCCACCCTTCAAGCTTTTCCAAGCAGCAGGCTCCTTGGGCTGATGTCCTTGGAGCCCCCAAGTCCTGTGGAGCTGTGTCAGCTGTCCTGTCTGAGAGTCTAGAATGACAGTTATGAGCTCTACACGCCTGGGGGGCACCAAGGTGATAGGGTTGTCCACTCAGGTAAGCCATGTGCGAATGCCCAACTGAGTAGAATGATACACTGATCATAAGCCATAAGCGAAGGTCGCTGGGGCTCCTTCTACTTGGAGAACAAACCCAGGGGCCACTTCCAGGAAACCGACTGTGGTGAGATATTATCTTTTGATCTTTATGCTTTTTGAGTGCTCGATGTTCCTTTACTCTGTAATGATGCTTATTAAACTCAGAGTGCCTGGGTTATTCAGGTTACTTATGAAGCAACAAGGGCAAATGAACTTTTTAGAGTGGCATTGAGGTCTTTAGCGTCTGCAAGCCTCAGGTAGATGAACTTGGACAGAGAGTGCTTTCCCTCCCACTTTCCATCCCACCCTTTCACTCTCCCCCTTCCCCACACCCACTGTCAGCTTTCTAGAACTGCTGAGCTGTGCAGGGTGGGGAAACATTGTGGCTTGTGTCTTAGGGAGAGACACAGAAACGAGACTGAGTATGTGTGTGTGAATGTGTGCCAGTTATGTATACATATGTGTGAGTATGCACGAATGTCTGTGCATATTTGTGTATGTGTGTGAGCATGTGTGTATGTGTAGGTGTGGTTAAATATGTATGTGCGCATGTGTGTATGTGTGGGGGAAACAGAATCCATCTTTATCAAAGCAGGTCCTATCTGCTTCCTTCTGAGAACACTAGGGGAGGAAGGCAGCTGCACAGGAGTCCTTAGCTCAGGTCTTTAAAGCTGTGAATTGCGCCAGGGAAAAGCCCAGGTGGCAGCAGGGTGCCCGAGATGGCACGATGGGTGGGTTAACCCTTTTCTCTTTTGTACTGTTTTTATATTGCAATAAATTATAAAAGTTATTTGTATATGATAAAGCTTACACTTCTAATCAATGGAGAAGAAAAGAATTACTCAATATATGAAGTGAGGACTATTAACTATTTGAAGGAAGTAAATTCTACCTCCACTTTATCTCCTGAAGAAAAACATTCTAGTGGGTTAAAGTAGGAAATGAAGTAATAAAATAGCTGGAAGGGAACTCAGCTCAGTATCTGATGTCAAGGAGGGAAAATCCTCTATAATGATGAATATTAAAATAAATATTTGAATATGTAAACATTTGATGTTTCTGTGTGTGAAAAAGTAGCCTAGAGAAAACTAAAAGGAACGCACATACTGGGAGGAATATTTGCATCACAAAGGAAAATAATTAGTGCTCTTTCCACATATGGAAAAGATCAATGTCTCACTCAGAAGGGAGGACCCTAAAGGACAAGGAAAAACTTCCCCAACCCCTCTTTTTCTTTCTCTTCACATCTTTTCTTTGAAAAAATGTGCAATAATAGTCAATATTTAAGGAGCACATGCCAAGCACTATTCTAAGTGCCTCACATGAATCAACTCACTGAATTCTCACCAGCCTATGAAGTAACATTTCATCCCCATTTTACAGATAAAGTAACTGAGACACAGAGATTACACAACCAAAGTACAAAGCTGGCGTCGGAATCTCAGCTGTCTGGCTCTGGAGTCTGAGCTCTTAATCTATATTGTGCATACACTTGTGAAAAGAAGTGTACACTGGGGTGAAAAAAAGTGTACACGTGACAGGGAAATTTCCCCCCTTCAGGAGAGGCCCCACACCCTCCGGAGAGTTGCCCACCCTTGCCTGCTTCCTCATCTCCTATTCATGATTCAGCCCTTTGGTACTTAGGTTTCTGTTCCACTCCTTCCACTGAAAATTTCTCTGGCAAAGAACACTGGTGACCTCTTGGTTGCCAAACCCAAAAAAACAACACCTTTTGCCCTTTATCTTGCTTGACCTCTCGACTGCACTTGGCCCTTTGGTTCACACCTTCTTTGAAACTTTGTTCCTTGATATTTATCTGATACCAACTCTCTAGGCTTCTGCTCCTACTTCTCTGCCTCTATTTCCCCATTTTCTTTCTGCTCACACCTTAAACAGTTGCATTCTGTCTCAGGTCCTGGGTCCAAGTCTAGAATAATGCTACCTTCCCCACCTTCCTTGGCTCCTGTTGATTTTCCCCTGAGCTCCAGATTCATAGTATCTACTTACTAAACACTTAGGAAATGGTCATCTTCTCCCCCAAAACTTACCCCTCCTCTGTCTTCCCTGATTCTGAGCCTGGCACTGCTATCCACCATACTGCCCAAGCCAGAACCTGAATACCAATCTAACTTCCCCTGACCCTTCCTCGCTGACCTCAGTTGTCAAACTCTGTTGCTTCCATGCTGTAATCTCTCTCAAATCCATTCACTTCAGCTCATCCCCATAGCCATTCCTACAGCTAAGGTGTGTATCATTTCTTTCTAGAATCACTATAAATATTTCGTCTCCAGCGTCCTGATTACACTCAGTCAAGGTGATTTTTAAAAAGGGTTCACTACATGGCTTAAAATACTTTGTGTGACCACTTTGTAATGGCTATGCCCTTCATCTGGACTATCCTTCTCTGACAGTGTTTGACACTTGTCCTTCAAGAATCCATCATCTAGAAAGCCATCACCAACCACTGCTGCCTGGGCTTCCATGCACACACACATACATTTATATCCATCCATCCAACAGTATTTACTGAGGATCTACTATCTGCTAAGAACTGTGCCTGGGAACAAGACAGAGAAGGTTTCTGTTCCTACAGAGCTAAAAACTGCACTGCAAGGGAGTGTTTTATGTTTGAAGGCAGATGTTCTGATGTATTCATCTCTGAATATCCAGCGCTCTGGACAAACAGGCCCTTAATGAATGAAAGAAATTTTGTTAACTCGTTGCCTAACCAACTACTGAGTCTACCAGCTTAACATGACAAATAAATAAATGAAACAAATAAGAAAGGAAGGAAGTCTAGTTTGTTTGGACTTATTCTTAGTGACTCCCTACTGACCTCCTAGTAATCCTTGTTTTTTTGTTATTGTAAATGCTCATAAATCAGAACTAGAGCTGACTGACCCTGCTCTGTGGCTTTGATTTTGTATATTTCAAATTAGGCGTAGCAGAAAACCCACCCATGTCTTTATTTACCTACTCTTAGTGAAGAGAATATTTGCTTAACAATGTGGTGGATATTTCTAAGCTCAGAGCAGAAAACCAGAGAGCAGAATTCCTTGGTTCTTGGACTTTTCCAAGCTCTTGTAACTACAGCCTCCCCGCAAAGTCTGCAGATTCTGTGAGAGGCAAAAGGCAAGAAGAGGGTGAAAGGATAATGTAAGGATGTGCTGCAAATCCCAGGCCCTTCTTCAGCATGCAAATAAAACTGCATGGGAAGGAAAGGTTGGCTTCACATATTCACTGTTCTGATCTGGGAGTTTGGTGGTTTGCTGGTGAACAGGAGAATCAATGACTCAGCTCCTTAAGTGGTACCACGAAGTCTTTTCAAGCCACAGTATGAGCAGGTCGAAGCAATCAGCATTCATGCAGCCAGTTGGTATGCAATACTTTTCATGTTAGAATGAACTTCCCACATTGGAACACAGGCCCTAAACAAACATGCCTCCTTAGCACAGCTGGGTTCCCTGATCACCATTCTGGGGCATCTCTTGTCCAGGGTTGCCCTTTGATGGGACACCATGAGGCACTGACACTACAAATTTCCTCTGGAGTGTCACCATTTCCGTTCATCATCTCTGCTATCTCAACTTCAATGTCACTTCCTCAGGAAAGCATTTCTCGAACTCCCCAAATCGCCCCATTAAAACAAGCCCTTAGTCAGGTATCCCCATGGTATGTTCCTGTGAGTCCTGCCTTTTTCCTTCTTAGTACTTATGATGATTATAATTAACCATCTGTGTAATTGTTTGTTGTTATTGGTCCTCTCTGATGGACCCTAAGTTCCAACAGGACGGTGTCTTCATGCTGATACTATCCCAATGTCTAGCACATAGGAGGGCTAAGAAAATGCTTGTTGAGTGGGTAAATAATGGATGGGTATATTAGCCCCACTCTCCACCATATCACTTTCTAACCTAGTATGAAGCCATCAGGTCTGGCTGTACAAAGCCTTTTGTGTCATTCTAGCTTTATTTTTGTTTTGGGAAAACACTTTGCTTCTTTTCTCATGTGGAACTACTCAAGTTTCTAAAGCTGAGGTTCCTGGGTTGGCTGCCTGTTGGAATAACCACTAGAGTTTGGTCAAAAAATACGGATCCTTGGGCTCGTCTCTCAGACATTCTGACTTAGTAGATTCTGGCTGATGACCAACCAGGTTTGGAAATCACTGCTCTGGAGGACATGTTTGTGAGGTGTGTAAGCTAAGAAGTAAGTAAGGAAGTTCAACTGGGACATTTGGTTGGATATAAACAAAGATATGAATAGACAGTCCACGAGAAGAATTTACCCTCACAAACAGGTAAAAAAATAACGGCACAAAGGACTGTCAATTAAAATGACAATAGATACCATTTTTTTCTTCACAGATTAGCAAAGATTAAAAATTGGTTAATATCCATGTTGGTGAGAGTGTGGAAAAACAGCTACTCTGACACATTGCTGGTGAGGCTGTAGATTGCTTCATAGACACATATTCTTTGACATACTTCTAGGAAGCAATCAGACAAATACACATCATACCATATCACACTATTACTTTTTGTGCCTGGAAAGGACCTAATATCTTATCAAGAGGGAATTGCTCAATAACTTATCCACACAATGGAATATTTGGGTATTTAAGAAGAATGAAGCAGCCCTGACAAGTCTGGCTCAGTGGGTTGGACATGGTCCTGCAAAACAAAAGGTTGCCAGTTTGATTCCCATTCAGGGCACATGCCTGGGTTGTAGGTTTGGTCCCTGGTCAGGGTACGTATGAGAGGCAACCAATTGATGTTTCTCTCTCACATCAGTGTTTCTCTCCCTCTCTTTCTCCCTCCCTTCTTCTCTCTCTAAAATTAAATACTAAAATCTTAAAAAAAAAAAAAAAAAAAGAATGAGGCAGGTCTATGTGTATTGATAAGGAACAATTGCCAAGCTACAGCCAAGTGAAAAATGGGGCATAACACTATTTTGTATTTACAGAAAAGGAGAAATGTTTATACCGATACACACATACTTGAAGAAGACTATTACATCCCTGCCAAGACACAGAAGCAACAGCATGAGGAAGGAGGGGACTGGAGGCCAGGGATGGAAGGAAGATATACATGTATGGTGTATTCCTTGCTATGTTTGGGTTTTTTACTTTGTGTATATACTCCTTTCAAATAAATTCTTCAGAGTCATTCAAGATTGTCTGACCACTGTGCTGTACACCTAAAACTGATATAAAATAATATTGAATGTAAACAGTAATGAAAAAGTAAAAAAGAATCATTCTGTTAGAAAGACCAAGAAAGAGAGTCGGAGAGAGTAAGAGAGCGAGGTTCACTAGCATAAAAGAGCCAGGCCTGCAAATGAGAAGGACAGTTCCCATCTTGCCCTTCAACTCCCACTGGGCACAGCTGACTCAGGGATTGGAGTCTGCAGCCCAGATGTGCTTTGGTTGACAGATATGAGTATTTTCAGTACCTGCTGAGGTCAGGGAAGGTCAAAGACTTCAGGGAGAAGGGGGTTCTTGGTAAATGATGTGAAACTGATGGAAGTGTGATGGGCTAAATAGATCTTTGATTGCCCAGTGACTTTCCACTAGCCTTTAAATAGTGGTTTACATGCCTCATAAGCTTCTAGATGGCTCAGAAAGAAAATTGTTAACCTGCTCTATTTATATTATTGACAGGTATATAGTCAGTGTCTGATGCCTCGCTTCCAGCACAGGTTCCATAAATGTTGGTGTCTGTCTCCGGAACAAGGAACATTCCTTCAATTCTTTCCCTAGATGGCCTCCTCTTCTTGTTCGCCCATGTACAAGATACAAAGACAGCCTTTAGTGTAACTGCTGGAACAAGCAGTAGGGTAACCGTTGCAAAATACAGGACCACACTGCCTTTCGAAACTAACCCTCTTTTCCATAAGCTGCACCCCATTTGGTTATCCTTGAAAAAAAACCTGTGCTTCTCGCTAAGTCTACAGATATCAGAATATTGTCTTACCAGGTGCATCCCTATGGAGGTGGCCATCGCCGTCTCAATCTCTGTGCCCACATCCTCGATGAAGGGGTATTCGTCCTGTCGATGGACAATCACCTTAGCTCCGGTGGAGGACACCAGGAAGGGGTTATATTCCTCTTCGTTTATGTACAAGATGACCTGCAGCCCTGAGAGGATAAGGCAGCTCGTTGTGGTCAAAGCTGGGGGAACATACCCTCATACAGCCTACCTCTCTTACTGTCTTGGGAGCTTCATAACCAAGGCCTAGGCATTTCCAACAAGTGAAAGGTAGACAGGGCTGGACTGGAAGCTCCACAAGGCAAGTAGTTGTCCCTGGCTTGCTCAGAATAAGGGCTCAAAAGCAGTGCTAGTCCCACAGACCTGCTGAGTGTAAGGGAACTGCTACTCTGCCCGAGACATGCACTTCCACATGGTCCTGTGAGATGGGGAGCTCTGCTGAGCACCCTCCAGTGCTGTGGCTTCTGGAACCCTCAGGGAAGAGGTGAAGCACTGATGGTGTATCTAATCACTGGCCTAACTCTTGCCCTGTGCTCCCTATTCTGCACCCAGCAGCCTGAGGGACCCTCCTTTGAAAATCAGAAATCAGATCAGGACACTTCCTTGCCTAAAACCCTTCAGTGGCACCTCACTGGATGAAATGCCATGGAATAAAGTCCATTAGCTCCCATTAGCCTGACTGGCCATCATGGCTTTGATGTCACCACTACCCCCCAACTCTCCCTATTCTCCCCCTCCCTCCGGAAGCTCCAAGCACACTGTTCTTTCTGTTTTTAGAACACATCAGGGTCTAACACATGTTAGTGCCTAGAATACTCTCCTGTGGACATTAACATGGATCTTCTCATCCTTAAACAATTCACCTTTCTGGACCTCCTTATCCGAAACCAAATTCTCATTCTGACCTCAGCTTCTCTCTCTTCAGCTTGGCTGCTTTGTTTCCATCATAGCACTCATCAGGATTTATAGCTGGAAAATGTCTATGTGCTTGTTGGCTCATTTGTTATCTTTCTCTCTTCACTAAAGTGCAGCTTCCCTGAAAGGAGACATAGTATCTGTCCGGTTCACCGCTGCCTTCCTGGCACCTGGAAGAGGGCCTGGCATACAGCGATAATCAATGTTTGGTAAATGAATGAGCAAATGAGCAGGATCTCTGGGGTGAAAGAAGAAAACTTTGAGAGTTATTCTGACTTTTTCCATTTGTAGATAAAGGAACCAAAGCCCAGAGTGGGAAAGTGATTTGCTCGATGTCACAGACCACATGGAGCAGAGCCAGGGCTGTGCAAGTCTTCGCTCCCAGTTCCCACACTGCTTCTTCCCACTCGAGTCTGTGCCCTGAATTAGGGTTTCCTGCAGACTTGGTAAGAACCCAGACTATGCAGTAACAAAGGCTAGGGATATTGTATATGAGTTATATTTGGTTTGCTTAGGACTGTCAAGAATTTCTCTTTGTTGGTAAGCCTGGCCAATCTGTTGAGCTCCTGTCTTCCCAATAGACCTAGCAGTGGAGCAGAAGGCATAGCAGCATGGGAGGGAGTAACGATACTATGGTGGTGGTGGTACCATCAGCAGTGGTAGAGAGCTGCCAAGCAGCAAGAGCCACAACTAGCATTTACTGCACGCCTCGTGTGTGCTACAAAGTGAATGGAGTCTCCTTTTCCCCAAATTCATATGCCGAAACTCTAAACCCCAATATGACTGTATGTGGAGCTAGGGCCATTAGGAAAGTAATTAAGGTTAAATGAAGTCACGAGGGTGGGCTCTAATCCCATAGGACTGTGTCCTTATAAGAAGAAGGAGAGACACAGAGCAAGCCCTCTCTCTGCATGCCACAGAGGAAAAGCCATGTGAGGACACAGTGAGAAGGTGGCTGACTTGCAAGCCAGGAAGAGAGGTCTCACCAAAAACCAAATTTCCTAGCACCTTGATGATGGACTTTCAGCCCCCAGAACTGAGAAAAAATAAATGTCTTCTTTAATTCACCCCATCTGTGATATTTTGTTGTGGCAGCCCTAGCAGACTAACCAGTGTGTGTCAGGTCTTATTCTAAGTGTTCGACACATTTTCGGTCTTCTCAATTGCCTCCTATCAGAGCTATTATTATTGTCCCCACTCTATAGTTGAGTTCAGTAACTTGTACAGGGTCACAAGTGAGTGGCAGAGTTGGGTGTTGGTTTTAAGAATCTGTCATCTTAGCCAAGCTCGAGTTACAGTGTTTGCCTCCCTAATCTCTTATTCGGCATATCTGGGTTTAAGTCCACCTGGAAGCTGCTGGCCCAGCATTACTCACTCCAGCTACAAGCTTAAACTAAAGTGGATTCCCAGGAGAAGAAATCCCAGCCATGCTGCTACCACTCTCTCAAAAGTAAAGAGGGGACATCAAAAAGGGGAAAAGATACCAATAAAGAAGGAACCAACATAGAAGCTGATAGAAACCCTGCAAAAAGGGACCGTTCTGTCACTGGTTTCTGGCCAGGTGCAGAGATAATGCACTTCTAGAAGACTCAAGCACCCTCAATTGTCTTGATACCCAGGACCTCCTTGGGGCAGGTCTCCTTACCATATTCACTGCCCCCCATGGAGGTGCTGTGGATAGTCTCATTTTCTTTATTGTTGAATGTGTAGCAATTCCCATACATTGGATGGTGGAAAAGTGTGAAGTTCCTATGGAGGAAGAATATGGGTCAGAAGGGGCTGTGCTGGGACTTCCCCCCACACATGCTTTGGAGTGGAAGTCAGAATGGGCAGTGCTAACTGCACCAACTCTCTTTTGTGAACAATGGATGATAGAGAGGACTCACTTTCCCCAACTGTCCTCTCATGAATGACAAACAAGGCCTCTCATCCGGATTGACACATGTCGATATAGAACTATTCTTTGCTTTCTGTTCTTCCTCTTAATCCTCTCGCCTCCGTCTCCATCCTGACTTGGTATTTCTTGTACCATATGTCTACCCCAAATTCCTCTACTCTTGAAGTTCTCAGCCAACACTTGACATTTTTCTCTTCCAATCCCTAGTCCTAGGACATGATCCTCAAAGAAGGAATCACATCATAGGCCTTTCTTCCTCCCTCACTCCCTCCCTCTCTTCCTCCCTCTATGCTAGATCAGTGGTTCTCAATCATTGATATGCATGACGGCAATATACAAGGTTGTACGTACACCATCTACTACTCTGTATTTATGAGTGGTTTAATGGAATTAAGGATATTTTGACTCTATGCCATCTCCACCTCCCTCCCTGACTGACTCTAGAGTTTAGCTCCTCTGTAAGCTGCTTTCCAAAGGGCAGGGCCACTGAGAAGAGCACCATTCTCTCCCAAGACCTACAGCTGAGCTGCAGATGCACGCAAGGGGCCCGACACTCAGAGCCACCAGTCCTCGGAGCTAAGAGAGCAGCCTTCCTCTCCTGACCTGGCATCACAGGACACCCCGTCAAAGAAGCAGGTAACCAGCAGCTCCTCAGCAGAGTAGCTCATGTTGATTTTCTTCTCCAGAGGCACCTGTGCCATGATGTTCATGTAGTGCAGCTTATACCACTCCTGGATGGCATTGACTCCTGAGCTGAAGGTATAGACAGCACAGCTGGATGTGTCATTTGAACACTGTGAATAAGAGGAGACATGAGGCTGAAGCCATCAGCTCTACCTACCATCCATCAACCTTCAGAAGGACTATAAGGATGAAGAACTGAGGAGGGGTCCCTGGGCAAGGATGAGCTTATTCTCACATCTAGGGGCTGAGGGACATTATCCTTAAGCCTTAAGGACCAAGAAGGAGGTCAGTGAGAAAGGAATGACTCCCTACCAGGTGAAATGCAAAATCACCTTCCTCAGGGTTTCTGCACATCTGGGCTTCAGCTGATTATCACTACTGAATTCCTATATGACCCTCACCATTTCCTGTTGGATCCATAGTCTATTACTCTGAATTGTAGCCCAGACTCTAACACTGTTTCTCTGAGGCATCTTGGGTGAGGCACTGTATATCCATTACTTCACCTATAAAATGTTGATGAAAATTCCACCCTTTCCCACTTCATATGGTAGTCAGCAAGAGCAGCATTTAAATTATACCATAATGAGAGCTTTATGGGGAACTTGTGGTACATCCCAGATGCTCTCATCATGCAGGGCTTAAAAATTCCTAAATGACAGACACAAAAGCGTTGATTTTGGTATTAAGGAGAATCGTGTGTACCTCATGAAAGGACCCAGAAAGAATTTGAAAAGTCTCAGTGGTTAAGGGACAGGGCCATTCTTTTCAGGATCTGGGACTGCAGTCCTGGGGTCTCACAATCAGCATTCACGGCTAGACTGCCGAGAAGTAGCTCTTCTGCAGTGGTGGCAGGGGCATGGAGAAGAGGGTGGTGATTGAGCTTGTCCAGGAAAGCAATGGAACTAATTTTTGGTAAATGGCTACTTCTTCTGAACCTCTCAAATAGGACTAAGAAGGAGAGATGAGAAGTCAGGTGAGAGCCACTCATTAAGGCAAGCAATGGAGGGAACATTGGGTGTTTTTGCTGCTTATTATTTATTTTCTTCCTTCTGGCATCTGTGCCCCAGTTTTGCTTTGATGAAATTTCACTTCCCCATACAGTTGGCTGAGGCTGTCCATCAAGGCCCTCACCCTCTGTGAGCCAACAGGTGACCCAGGCTTGGCCAATCAGTTGTCCCAAGATGAGATGTAAACCTGTCTCTACAGATGAATGAACAAGAAGACTAAAATTAATTGAAGCTTATTTGATCCAGCAGCAGTATCTGAAATGACGTTCCATCATTTCTTGTTATGAAGATCCCTGGATTTTCCCTAATTTGTGTCCTTTGAGTGAGCTCCATGAGCTACCAGTCACCTTCTAAGACGTTTGCTTTCTGCTTATGATAGCCTGCATCCACTTCAGTTGCCTATCTCCCATTCACCCTAACTGGGTGAGTTTCCTCCAGTGGGACTAAGGTGCTAATGGCAAAGGAGAAACCTCTCTGGACCCACTATCTCCAGCCCTTCCTGTGCCCCAAACCATAAGCATGTGTACTTACCAGCTGGAATCCCACCACCTCCTTGGACTCTTGGACATGCATGACGTCCGATGCCTTATGAATGATGCTTCCACTGACTCTACGCTTCTGCCCTGTGAGGAAGTCTGTGGCCTTGCTGGTCTCACCCTCATTGAAGACCATCAGTGGGATAAGATTGAGGAATTTGGGCTGGGTGCCCTCCCATGCTGAACTCCAGGGCTCAGCCTCTCGGCGTTTCCTACGAGACTCAATCTCTGAGAAGCCATACAGGGTCTTCAAGGCCGCTCTGGTCTCCTGTTCCAAGTCAGCTAGAAGGGGCCTCACAGCACTGTACCTGCCAAAGTGGGGAATGAGATTCAGGGAGAGAAGAAACCTCTCTGACACAATGCTGCTACTTCTCCATGCTGCTTTCCATCCACATGTGTCAGCATTGTGCCCACTGCTCCTGTCCCCTTGGCCAGGGACAACAGGCCTGTTACAGTTTGCCCCATCATGTGTGACTGCTGGCTCAAGTGAATGCAGACAGCTCCTGTGTACTCTTTGGTGACTTCCTGTGGTTTTACTTCTACCACCACTGTCTGCTTGCTCTCAGGATGTGTTGATGAGTTTGTCCCAACCAGCATTTCTGGAGTGGTGACTGTAAGTGCCTCCCATAGCCCAGCCACTGCTACATGGGAGTCTACCCACGGAGCAGGCTCTGACTCCACCCAGTACACTTGTCCTTGCCCTCTGACTCTCCTTGAGTCAGTGCTGGGAGGGAAGAGGTGTAACTTACCTTGACAACCCTAAGAACAGAATAATGACATAGGAGTTGACTGACTGAAGCATAATGGTTCCATCTTTCACAATATCAAATGATCCTGGCCTTCCTTTTAACTCTCCCCCCTCTCTCTCTCCCTTGCTCTGTGCATAGTGATAAAGCCAGTCTCCCTGGGTTCTACTTCCCCATCCTGGCTCTGTATGTATCATCTTGGACAAGGCATTTAGCCTTTCTGTGTCTCATTTCCCCATCTGTAAAATGGAATTATTGGGAAAAGTAAATGAATTTATGTCTACTTATTTAATTAAATGGTCACTATTATTAATTTTATTAGTATTTAATTGTATTAGTAGTTCACTTTTCTAGTACAACATCAGCTCCATTGGGACAAAGACTGTGTTTGGGTTGTTCAGTTCTATGCCATGGGCCCTAGCACAGTGTGTGACAATTGGTAGATGATTACAGAACAAAAAATGGACAGCAGGAAGGGAGGGAGGTAGAAAAAAAGGAAGAAAGGGGCAGAGAAAGTAAAAAGAAAAACTTTGAGGTGGAGGATGAATCTTAGACCTGATTTGGATTTTGAGCTTTGCTGTCAACTCATTGATGACTCTGGTCTAGGTAGTTCCCTTTGATAGTCTTCCTCCCTTGCTCTTCTCTTCTCTCCACCCTACACCTGCTCTGACAAACTGCCAGATTCTGATCTGCCTCATAGACCAGTTTTCAACAATCCTCAGAAGGACACCAGTGATCCATTTAAAACAGGTCCTGTTGCAGATGATAGGGCAGTATCAAGGGCCAATTCTGCCCAGAACCCAATGATTTCAATTAGTGGATCTGGGTTCACTCAGGTGAGGATTTGGGGCAGCTGAGAAGATTCTGGAAGCCACCTGGGTACCACTTTTGAGTCAGCCTTGAGCTTACATCTCAGGAGCATGAGAGTTTAAGCTTGAGGTACTCAGGGGAAATGGCTAAGCTAGGCTGTGTGTGTGCATGTGTGTGTGTGTGTGTGTGTGTCCAGGGTGGTGGGTAGGAGCTACAGCTTCTCTGAGGCCTAACATCCAAGTAAAACTGATCCTTGCAGTTTGCCCCCTGCCTTCCCTGAGCCAGCCCATCCTCAGAAGCCACTGATGGACTGAAAACTTGGTACAGATTTAGAAGCTGGGAGAGGGCAATTTACCAATGTCGGCAATGAATTCAAATTTCTAAAAAGCATGCCTGCAGGCTGGAGTGTGTCACCATTAAGGAGGGCTTTTGGCATCCAAGGAGGGTATGACCCCACACTAGGCCCCTGCTCCTGCCTCTTACTTGTAAGGGTTGATGTTGCAGATGGTGACTGCAGGAAAATCCAGCTTCTGGAAGTGGATTTTGATGGAGACGGAGACAGTGTAGAAGGAGAGAATGAGGAGGGCACACTGCCAGAAAATCAGGGCTACGGCCGTCAGCGTGAACAGGATCCAGAGAAGGCGCCGGAGGCGTCCACGGGACACCACGATGCGACGGCAGCCATGGGTGTTGGTGTTGAGACAGTACCACCTCATCAGCTCCTTAATGGTAGGCGCCTGAGGCCCCGTCACAGGCAGATTCTTCTTGATTTTGGCTTTGATCTTCTCTCCAGGAGCCATGTCGAAGATGGCGCTTGGAAGGGCAGGCAGGCTGGAGGGGCAGAGAAGAAGAGCAGGTAAGTGCACATACCCCAGCCTGCTGGCTAGTCCGTGGAGGCCCGGTGCGCACATGCCCTCAGAGGCCGCCTTGCTTTTTCTCTTTCTGGGCTGGATAGTCTGCATTCTGAGGCCTTGGCCCCTTCTTTCAGGATATTTGTTTTTTGGCCACCACAGCTGCCAAAGAGCTGCCTCCTCCACTTGTTGTCCCCAGGCCCAGCATGTGGGGGTTGGAGACTTAACCTGTGAATCGCAGGACAGGTTTGAAGAACCTTTCACCAGGTGCTTCAGGCAGGAGGCCCCTGGTCCACCAGGCCAGCCTCTGCACCTTGTATCATGCTTTGCGGGGATTCTAGTATTGCCCCCTGTGCCTTGTAGCCTCCAGGAAGGCAGCAGTCCTAGCTCATCCTGCCCCCTGGTGCCCAGTTTAGGGTCTGGCACGGAGCAAGCACCTTGCAAATTGATTCTGACAGATAAAATCTGCCAAGAGAATTTCCCGACAGCCGCCATAGATCATGTTCAGTCCCTTCCCGCCCTATTTTCCCAGCCCTCATGCTGTTTTACTGAAAGTGGAGAGTTTCTGTTTCATTTCTGCTTCATTTCTTCTCTTTACAGTCAAGCTCTTAGTGTTCCTAGGGCACCTAATATAACAATGGCCTACAGCTATTGGTCACTTAATATTTGCCAGGGGCTGTGCCATATTTCCTTGATTCTAAGATAGAATACACTTTGACTTAATAAGAGCTTTGTTTGGGGGAAAGTGTTGGAAAGCATATTACCCATTCGTCAATGTACATAATGCATCTCAATTACAGAAAATTTACAACGTGAAATGACATTCATTTTAAAAATGAACTTATATAATAAATGTGTATGTATGCAGGGTCATCTCATGATTATAATACATGTGTCTCATCAATATACACAGTCTTTCTATATATGTACATATAATCTCTATATATTTCATTTCAAGTTTTAACAACCCAACAAGGTAGGTTTAGGGATACTATTATTTTCTCTATGTTACAGAGGAGGAAAATGAGCTCAGAGAAGTAGAGTAACTTGTCCAAGATCACACAGTTAGTTAAGTGGAGGAGCTGGATTAGAATGATGATATATGCCTGCAAGGGGCCAGGATTGTGCTGGGTGCTGCCCTGACCCAAGGCAGTGAATTAGCTGCTGGGACTAAAGAGAGAAGGAAAGAGAAGAGATCTTGAGCTATTTGTTTTCCAAAAGCTGGACAGGTAACATGATCCCTTCCTACTGGTACAGAGGAAGAGGCTATATGGAAATTCTGTCCCTTATGCCTGCATTGGTGACAGAGGCAAATGAAGACATACTCTAGATATACAGGGGGTCCCCATGCTACCCAAGTGCTTGTGTCTAGAATGAGGACCTTAGTTTTCCCCACCAAGTTCTTCAGGCAGGATTCTGGACTTTAGTTATTTTTTTCTTCCCCATAAACCCATGGAATATTGTCCAAAATTGGGAGCTAGGGCAAAGCCAGGAGGCTTTCACACTTATGATGCTAATGGGTTTCAGGTATATGGTGTAAAGGAATTAGAGTGCTGTGGGCGAAGGTGAGAGGTCCCAAGCAGCCAGACCACTCCGAAACCTCCACAGATGTACGCGATCCTGCTGACAGAAAGAAAACAATTGCTGATCCTCAAAATTATGCTATTAGCCTTTTAATGGCTAATATTAAGTGACTAAATAAATTAGTCATTTAAAATATTGCTCGTCTCCACTTCCTCTCTCACTATAATCCAAAGGCAAAAAATTAGTGAGAGTTTGTTCACAGGCTCAACTTCCTGCCAAATAAAAGGTTTTCTCCTCTGCGAACGTTCAACAGAAACTGTGATTCTGAAAACTGTCTCCACCCACCCTCTTCTCACTGAAGACAACTCCTCGGGTCCCTCTGTTCCATTAACACCCTCCCCAGAACTGACCTTGGGCCCAGTGGATCACCTGCCAATATCTGTGAAACTGCAGAGGAAAGAAGGAAACCCACCTTGCCCATCAAAAAACAGATAGATGTTTGCACAAATAATATCTCAACTTCAAAGCCAGGCAAAGTTGTAGTTATTATTAGGTTGTACCACTTGATTAAATAAGGTGCTTTTGTGGGACAATTTGTACCTGACACAGCACTCGCTCTTCTCAGCACATTACAGGTATTAACACATTTAATTTCCACAACAGTCTTCTGAGGTAGGCAACATGATTTCCCCCATTGTACAAATAAAACCAACAATGACAGGCCAAGTAGCTTGCCCAAGGTCACCCTAGAAAGTGGCTGACCTGGAATTTGAACCCCAGAGTCCTCTAGTACTACTACTACTGCTACTACTACTACTACTACTACCACCACTACTACTGGCAGCAATAATAGCATCTATCATTTATTGATCCCTTACTCTCCCCCCAGGCATCCTACTCAGCTCTTTTTACACATTACCTTCTTGAATCCTCACTATAATTACATAACGTACTACCACTATCCCCATTTTACAGAAGAGGAAACTGAGATGCACAGAGGTTAGGTAACTCACCCAAGATCACACAGGTAGAAAAGATCCTTTAAAATTCCAGGGTCCTGTCTCAAGATGGTGACTCTCCTGCAGCTTCTCGCCCACTCCTGATCTCGCCTATAAGCCATACCAGTGAGAGAACTCGAGCCTCAGGGGACCCTATCTCCTTCGCAAGGACTGTGTGACCTCTGCCCAACCAGAGCAGAGCCATCAGGCGTCGTCCTGAGGCCAAAGGACAATCCGGGCTGAAGCGGCCGGAGAGAATCCTAACAACTCGCGTCTAGTGTTTGCTTCTTTCTGTAACCACAGTCAGCCCAGATAAAACACTCCAGAGGGTAAAAGGCGCAAACACCGTCAAGTCCACACGTCTCACCCAGGCTGGGAAGCGGTTTGCGCAAGTGCTGGGCAGAGGCAGGTGCCATCCCGGATCCCCGACCCAGTTTCTGAACAGCTCAGAAACCCCTCTCGCCAGCTGTGTGCCTCTGGTTACCGCACGGGCAGACGCCAGGGAGCTGGAACCGGAATGACCTGAGAAGGTGTCCCAGCATCCCGGCCACCAGGAGGCATCCCCGAACTGATGCCCTCACAGCCAACCAGCGCACGGACGGTGTCCAGGAAGCCACGCGACCCCACAGCCGCTCCGGTGCTTGAATACCCCGAGCTGGTGCGGCCTGACCCTGCTGGACTCACCTCACTGGGTTCCGAAGGCTCCGGGGCTAGAGCGTGGGCGATCGCGTCACGCTTCGTTCTGTTCCAGGCACAGCGCGAGCACCTCGCGGCGGCCGCGGCCAGCGGCTCTTGTGAGGTTTGCCGGGCCCCGCCCCCCAGGTCCGCCCCTAGGTTCGCCCCCACCTGCCCAGTTGTATTCCCCAGGCGGCCGAAGCTGTTCTGAGGCCCGGAGCCCGCCAAGATACCGCAGCACCTCCTGCCACCCTGCGGCCATACAGCGCCCACGCGCGTCCTGCTGGCGTCCTCCGGTGGCACCATGCAGTGCCTACTGCCGCCCGGAGGCCACCCTGCGCCCTGCATCCCCTGGCGCCTGTGCTGCGCGATCTTCGTTTCTCGCAGCCCCTCCTGCCGCCCTGTTCTTCACAGCACCGGTCACTCTGGTCCAGTTGACTGTCCGGCCGCCCTAGGACCAGGAGAAACCCTAAGCAATCTTGCCCAGAGCTTCTTCCTGACCTGGAGCGAGGCTACCCCAGTGCTACCTCAGTCCAGCTGCTGGCAGCAGGAGTTGTTCAGCCAGACGACTCATACTTTGATCTTGTCAGCTGACTTTTTGTAGGGACTCAGCAGATATCTACAAGAAATGAGTTTAGAAAATTACAACTGAAGGGCACTGAGGGACACCTCTGTCTCAGTCCCTCTGAGCAGAGAGAAAACAAGCACGGAGAGGGAACAGAGTCTGTTCTCTGTCAGGACTTCTCAGACTAACCTGTACATACCATCATCACCTGCGGATGATGTTAAAATGCAGATTATAATTCAGTGGGCATGGGTCTTGGAAATCTGCATTTCTGATTTCCCAGGTGGTGCATCTGTTGCTGGTCGGACGACCACACTTACAGTAACAAGAGCTACTCGCCCAAGTGAGTGGAAACCAGTTCAGAGTTTTGGAGGGCAATTCAAAGAGAAGACAGTAAAAATTCTCAACCTTTTATTTTAACAATATATGCACATTGTAAAGAACTCAGATAATGAAGAGAAAATGGTAGGTTTTTAAAAAATTACTCCTTCAATTTTGCTACTTATTATCAGTCTATTCAGGTTTTCTGCTTCTTCCAGATTCAGTTTTGGAAGATTGTATGTTTCTAGAAATTTATCCATTTCTCCCAGGTTGTCCAATTTCTTGGCATATAGTGTTTATAGTAATTTTTTACAATCCTTTGTATTTCTGTGATATCAGTTTTTAATTCTCTTTCATTCTGATTTTATTTATTTGGGATTTATTTGGGTCCTTTCTGGCCTTTTTTTTTTTTTTTTTTTTTATGAGCCTGATTAACATTTTGTCAATTTTGTTTCTCTTTTCAAAGAGCCAGCTCCTGGATTCATTAATACATTAAAATTTTTTTTGTTTCTTTGTTTTTTTAGTCTCTATGTCATTTAATTCTGCTCTGATCTTGATTATTTTCTCTCCTTGCTCTGGGCTTTGTTTGTTGTTGTTCCTCTAGTTCTTGTAGATACAGGGTTAAGTTGTTTATTTGAGATTTTTCTATCTTCTTTAAGTAGGCTTTTATTGCTATGAACTTCCCTTTCAGGACTGCCTTTACTGTGTCCCATAGGTTTTGGGTTGTTGTGTGTTCATTTTCATTCGTTTCCAGGTACTTTTGATTTCTTCATTGATCTCATGGTTGATCCATTCATTATTTAATAACATGTTATTCAGCCTCCATGTATTTGAATGGTTTTGAGTTTTTTCCTGAGGTTGGTTTCTAGTTTCAAGCCATCATGATTCAAGAAGATGCTTGATATGATTTCAATTTCCTTGAATTTGTGAAAGCTTGTTTTGTGTCCTACCATGTGGTCTATCTTTGAGAATGATCCATGTGTATTTGAGAAGAATGTATATTTTCCTTCTTTGGGGTGAAATTTGCTATAAATATCAATTAAGTCTATTTGAGAAAATGGAAGTCTTTCTATAATCTGGTTAACAGTTTGCTCATTATTTTACATATTTTTATGTGTAATGGGATTATGAAATACACACTGTTCTTTAAGTTTGTTTTAATGACAGTGCACTACACAGTTATATTCTTATTGTAAGTAAATGAAGCCAGCTATCACTGGCTCCCTGATATATTATGAGTAACCTTTGCCTGGACATTCCATTCACACAACTTATTTAATCAATCTACTGATATATTTTAAAGTTGTCTCCAATTTTACATTAATATAAATTATTCTCTATATAATATCTTCATGTATGTCTCTGTTTATTTCCTTGAGATAAATTCTTACTAGTGGGATTTTTTTTCTTTTACTGTCAGTGTACTTACCCAGTTTAATTGGCATGACAAAATAAACAGTGAAAAGAGCAGTCTACAAAAGCAGTATGTAGATTAGTAGAATATATCAAAATGTTTTATAAAGAGGTTATCTCTCAGGGTAGGCTTACAAGTGATTTTTACTAATATGTGTTTTTCTTCTCTAATGGCAATATATATGAGGGGGGACCCTCCATAAAACCCAGAATTATCTTCTGGAGGGTGGGCCCCTTGTAGTGCAGGCCTCCCTTGCCAGGTAAGTATTCTAGGAACCCCTCTGTACCAGTGTACCAGCTGGTGTTGCTGTTAGAGGCTACACTGAGCTTCAGTGAGTTTTTTTTGAAGACTCTTACAACGTGTTTGCCAATTTCACGATGGGTGATTTACAAGCACACCTGCCCATGCCGTGCTGAGTGTTCAGCAGTTTTTGACCCAAAACAGCATGACCCCTGTGCCCTACACTCTCTATTCACCCGATCTCACCCCGAGTGACTTTTTTTTGTTTCTCCAGATGAAAAAAGTCCCCAGAGGGAAATATTTTGATGATGTGGAAGAGGTGAAACAAAAAAACAGCAGAAGCACGAAAAAGATTCAAAATTGATGAGTTCAAAAACTGTTTTGAGCAGTGGGAAAAAAGTCTTGATAAGTGTATTGCCTCAAATGGAGAGCATTTTGAAAGTTAAACATGTAAGAATAAATACACAATTTTTTAATAAATAAATTCTGGGTTGTTTTGGGTCCCCCCATATATCGCCTCTTTCATAAAAATAAGAGTGCTTTCAAAAGATGGCAAGCTAGTTGAAGTCAGGGATAAGACATGAAATCAGATCAATATCACTATTGGGTAGAATGGATGTAGGTTGGATTGCTTTCTTTAAAAAAAATCAAGTGAAAATTTATATACAGTAAATGCACAGGTCTTAAGGGTACAATTCATTCAGTGAGTTTTGGTAACACCCCAATCAACATACAGCACATTGCCTGGGAAAGTTCCCTGGCCCCTTTCTACTCATTCCCACCCAGACAACCATGGTTCAGATATATATCACAATAGATTAATTTTCATGATGCTTAGACTTCATATGAATGGCTTACACAGTGTGTACTTTTTTGTGTTTGGTTTCTCTCATGAATTCAGTTCTGACTTCCGTTTTTCTACTATGCCATCACTGCCTCTGGTTAGCGAATTAACCGATTTTCACACATGAAGGGCCTGGATCTCAGACAGGTTAAGTTTACCATTTGTTTATCAGTAAGTAAGTGGTAAGGCCAAGATTTGCATCCAAGTCTGCTTAATATTTATCCACAAATTGTGTGATAATCTTGTTGTGAGTGGGACCAACTGTCATCCTCCCAGGTCCCACATGAAGAGTGATAAAAAATCCTTGGTATGGCTGAGATGAAAAGAAGCCCCTTACTTCCTGGGCCATGGGGCAGCAAGCTTTCTATCAAGATGTCTGTATAAGGCATGGTCAATCAAAACTATCAAAACTGTCTTGGGTGAAGAGTAGTCTTTTCGTTGAACCACTTCTGTCATTGGTAGGCCATTCGGCAGCTTCCTTCTGTCTAGAAGCATCAGTGTCCACATTTATAAAATACATATACAGTCTACTTCTCACCACCTCTGGGGCCACCACCATGCTCCAATCCATCATTACTCTCACCTAGATCATTGCCATAGCCTCCTAACTAGTCTTCCCTCTACAGTTGATTGTCAATACACTAGCCAAAGGGATCCCATTAAATTAGTCAGATCATGTCACTCCTCTGTTTAAGCCTGTTCAATGACTTCTTTATTCAGAGCAAAAGCCAAAGCGCTTATCATCAACTGACATGGCCCTCCCTGACCTGACCCCTGTTATTTCCTACCATTCTTATCCTGACTCACTCTTCTTTCTCTGTGTCCTCATGTGGTTCCTTGAATATGGCTGACACATTCCTGCCTAAGGGCTTGTTACAGGTGTTCACTCTCTTTGAATCTCTCTCCATACACACAGTCAGATAATCACATGGATCATCCTCTTGCCTCCTTTAAGTCCACCCTATTTAAAATGATGTTTTCCATTTTTCCAATACTCTCTACTCCTATAGTTCCTCCTATGTTGTCTTTCTATATATCAAGTCCAATCAAGGAAAGCAGAATTGCTTAACCAACAACTTCCCAGTTAGCACCAGTCATGCAACATTGCTGTAGCCATTGATAACTGATACAACTTCACTCAAACCCAACAACTTCACTTGAAAGACCCAAGAATTTCAGGACTATTGGGATCAATGGCAGGCTCAGCGGCAAGCCATGGACAGAAGAACTCAGAGTCCCGGAGATGCAAATAGCAAGGGCTACGTTCGGAGAACACCAAAATCACTTACATTTAATATTAGCTTCCCCTTTCTCAATGATACTGGAATCCTGGGACTAGAATTAGTCTTGGTAAAGTCATTTGGTTTCAAATAACTGAATCAGACTCAAGTTAATGTAAGGAAAATCAAGAAATGATTACGTGGATGCAAGCAGAATTCTTTCACAGAGTCCAGAGAAACATAAACAAGGCCTCTGGAGAATGGGAACCAGGAAAGTTCTGGATCCCTAGGGGAGGATTGTTTTGGCTTTCTTGAGTTACCAACACCCCTCTTAATCTTAGTGGGTCATTAGATAGAATTTGATTTGCCACTGGTCTGCCAATGAGCTGGGTTCTGTGGGTCAGGTGTCCCTTGTCACTGGTCTAATCAGCTAGCCCCATGAGGATAGAAACACAGAATAAAGATGGCAGTTAGGTCCGCCACTATGGGTGAACAGGCAACTCTTAG